TCTTATAGACTTACAAATAAGTGAACTATTTAAAGAGAAAGAATATGAACAGCATTTAAAGAAAATTTCTACAATTAATATAAAAGACTCTATTCTGATTTATTCAGATGACTCAAAAAATGAGAATTTGCATAGATTAGATGCAGGCATTGCTTATACTGAAGACAATATTAATTTTATCTCAGATTTCTGACATTTAGGCTGTGAATCTGAAGTCTTTGATGCTTAACTATTTATAATAGTGAAAGCTTTCATACTTATTGAAATAAAATCTTATAAAAGAGAAAATAGTTTGAAAGAGATATGAATATTCTCTAATAGTCAAGCTGCTTTAAAAAGACTTAGAAATAGTCAGATTTATAATGATCAAATGAATCTTGAACTGATCTTAAACTCTGTTTTAAAAATTCAAAAGAGAAGAATATCAAAGCTGATAATTCATCTACACTGAGTTCCTGCTCATATGAATATTCATGATAATGAATTGACTGATTCAGCTGTAAAAAAAGGTTCAGAACTAAGCAGATCTATTCAAAAAATTATATCCTGATCTTTTATAAAGAGAAAAATAAAAGAATCTTGGTAAGACAAGTGAAATGAAAGCTGATAGAAATAAAAGAAGAGTATACATTATTCAAGATTTGAAACAAAACCCAAGTGAAAATCTTGTTTAATTAAATGTAAAAAGAAAATATTCTCATCTATAATACAGCTGAAACTAGAACATGGCTATTTCAAATCTTATATACAAAGATTTGATGATAGATTTGATTCAATAAAATGCTCATTCTGCAATGCAAATGAGAATTCTGAGCATATTGTAATGCACTGTACATTATACAATAGTCTCAGAGTCAGATTGAAAGAGAAGTATGATCTACATCAATTAAATATGAGATTCTTATTCTCAACTGAGACAGGAATTAAATACTTAATAGACTTTCTATCAGAAACTCAAGCAGCTACAAGAAAATAGCTGAATTCAGAAATATCTGAATATGAAGAGGAGGAAATTAATCAGATATAGTCTGTTAAAATAGCTATATACTATCTTTTGATAATTTGTTTCATTACAGTCTCTCTTTATTTTACTTTACTTTTTTCTTTCTATTCTTTTCTATCTATCTATTTAATGTGTCTATCTTTAAGACTGTGTTCTCTTTTCTTTTGTCATGATATTGTCAAATGATTTCAAAGTATCAGAAGATGTTAAAACACTGCAATTTGTAAACAGTTTTTATATTCTGAGCTGGAATTTTCTGATTTTGCATATCTGAAATTGGTGAATGTATAATAGTTAACTTTATAGATATAGGAAAAACCCTGAGAACTTTTAGTTCTCAGGTAGATGTCATAGCCTCTGACTGCATACATCTATAATTGAAGAATAATAATAATAATAATAATCACTTAACATGATTTTCTAAAAATATCATCAGAATTAGTATTCAGATTCACAGATCTATCTTTCTCAAGAAACACTCAATAGTCTGAAGTAATTAATTCACTCTTTGAGATATCAGATCTAGAGATCAAACTTCATATATTATATCTCTTCAGATCAGTAATTTTATATTATATAAACTTCTTTCAATAATCTTCTACTCTCTCTGACTGAGATGTGACATTCTTGTAGAACTTTGAGAGGTTATCTGTAATAGAGCTCAGAGTATATATAGTCAGCATTTTCACAGGCTGTAATTATGTAGAATTCAGATCATTAATATCAGAAGTATCTTCATTATCAATCAGATAAATGTCAGGTTCTGACTCAGTAATATAATTAATAAGTGTCACAGATATAGCTAATTCTGATTTTTCAGTAATCAGAAACCTTATATCACTACTGACAATAATCTTGTCAGATTCAGAATTTCATAGATAATATATCAATGCATCACTGAATTTAATAATATAATAGAAATTAACATATGAAGAGAGCTTATCTGCAGACTTCTAAGATTCATACATGTGAATAAAAACCTCTGTACTTAATCAGTGAAAATGCCTCACAATCAGTAGAGTGTTTATAAGTACATATTAAAAAATCTCATATGAACTTGAAATCACAGAAGTCTCTGCAGTAGAGAATCAAAATTTCAAGTTATAAAGAACTATAGATATAAAAGTATTATTAATTATTATAATCACTGTCTCTAGAATATCTATTCAGAACTTCTTAGAGAGATTATCTTTTAAAAGAGTAGCTCTAACCTGTCTTATAATAGTATAAATCTCATATTTGAAAACTCTATCTTAATGTGATGAATGAGATGTCATTAATTCTTATTTAATATTATATAAATTCATAACTGTATGTATATATATGAATTAAAAAACATTATTAATATCAGTCTATAGAAAAGTAGGAGCTGTATATCTGAGATTACTTATAAATCTGAGTCATAACTCAAAGTATTGAACAGCCTCATTCTTGAACTTTAAAAAATATACTCAATAATAGCAAGTTATATCACAGATGATAAATATTCAGTATTTAATTTTCTGATAAGACTCTAAGAGATAATCAGAGAGATTTTTCAATGTATATTCATTATTTACAAGATTAATATAAATCTTCTTAATAAGTTAAATAGATTCAGATATTAGTGTTTTTAAATAATCTTATATTATATCTATCTTGACATATTTCTTATAAAAGAACTTGATCTTAGAATCTTTAATTGTAACTTTAGTATAAGAATTCTTGATTATAGTAATTATAGCATCAGTGTGAATATAACTGATATTATAGTATTAATTCAAAAGAGTCTTTGATATCTTTAATATCTCTGTTTTTATATCTATAGAATCAATGTTATCAACAGTAGTAATAACAGTCATAGAAAAATCAACTTTTCAGTTAAAATTATACTTATAAGATATTATAATATACTTGACTTTCTTATTCAGATAATTGAGATTCTTATTAAACTCTCATTCAATAACTCTGTATATTTTGTTATAAGTGATCTGAACTATATGAAAAATAACATTATTCAGAGCTCTGTAAATGAAAAATAAGAGAATAGTAAAAAATAATATAAATTAAAATCTCTGATCTTTAAGCTTTATAAATGGGAGCAGATTAACTATAATATTAGAAATATAGTGAATATTCTGTAAGTTAACATCATTACTCTCAATCTTTAAGATAATAGTTTTAATCTTCTTAATAAACTCAGTTTTCTCAGTTGCAGAATTGACAGAGATGTTATTATTAAAAGATTTAATATTTAAAAAAGAATAAAGCTTATTCATCATATTCAGACTTATATATATATTTAAATATCAAGATTTAGAGAATGATTTTTCAGTGACTGTGAAAGAGAAATAGAACTCAATCTTTATAATTACTGTATTTACTGTTAATTAAAAACTTATTAAGTTATTCTTCTTCTCTTTCTTTTTATTATTATTCTTCTTATTTATCTTCTTTTTCTTTTTATCAGAGTGTAAGATAAAATATCTGTTAATAGTATATTCATATCTTTTACAGTGAGTGTACTTTTATATAGATGTGTTTTTATTCTCATCTTTATTCTTATTCTTTTTTACAGTTATAGAATCAGTCTGAGACTGCTTTTTTCACTTAGTAATAATCTTCTTAAATGTATAATTGATCAGTTACTTTATTAAATTATTAATATTAATATTAATAATAAGTTCTTGATCAGTGAAGAAAAACTCATTCAGATATATCTTAATAAACAGTTTTTAATAATCTTATAGATTATTGAGAAAAAGATTATAATATACATTCTCAGTACTCTGACAGAGCTCTCTATAATAGATAATAAAATAGTGAAAACATCTCTGAAAAGTAAGATAATTATCATTCTTAACTTATAATTTTATTCACTTCTTAAAGATATTAATATATTCTTCAGTCAGTGATATTATATATTTAATATTAATCTTATCTTATACTGTTATAGTATTATCAGCTTTCAAGATTTTAATTATGATTTAAACATTTCTAATAAAACTTAACAGTATATATTTATATAGAGATTTGAAATAGATCTTTCACTTCTCAGAATTAATATAATATATAAAAGAGAATTCTTATTAAGTCTTTAATAAAATATTAATTTTATTAATAACTTCTGTATTAATTAATATACTAATATATCAGACTTTATAATTAAAGTTATCAAATATAGTTACTGATTTAATATTTAATATATATTTAACTTTCTTCTGATATTTCTGTAACTCATTTCTTATAGTATCTCTTTATACAGAGATAGATATAATAAGAAATTATATAATATTAACTGCAGTTATTTAATTCTGTTGTCTTATTTATATAAGATTTATAAGATTATCTACAG